TTTTTTGTCCATACCCTGTATCTTTTTTAAGTTTATTTAAGTTGGTTTCCACCTTTCTCTGGTACCTCGTTAAGTAGCTTAATAATTGACCTTCTGAATTATTTCTGGCATTCGCAGATTTTTTCTTGGTTCGGATCCATTGCAGGTTAGTTAGTGTGATCTTTTTGGAGTGTTAAAGAACACAGCTTTTTCATATTACCAGAATATTTTCTTGTCCCTTTTCATTTGGGTAGACTATGTCAGAGGAAAGATCTGGAACTCAAGAGCTGCTGTTCAGATTCTTTTCTCCCGTGGGGTGATCCCTTGATGTGAAGCTCTTCCCCTTCTTCTAGGTATGGGGCTTCCTAAGAGCCAGACTGCAGTGATTGTTATTGCTCTTCTGAGTCTAGCCACCCAGCAGAACTAACAGGCTCTGGGCTGGTATTGGGGTGTCTCTGCAAAGATTCCTCTGATGTGATCTGTCTTCAGTTCTCTCAGCTGTGAATACCAGCACCTGCTCTGGGGGGAGGTAGCAGGGGAACGAAGTAAACTATCTGAGGGTCCTTGGTTGTAGTTTTGTTTAGTGTGCTGGTTTGCTCAAATGCTGGTTTTGCTAACAGTGAAGATGTCACGTGGACAGACTCAAGACCTCTGGTTAGTCAGGATGTTACAGGAAGTGGAATTAGTTGTTGTTGTTGTTGTTTATCCTTTCTTAGAGCAAGGTTGTTATTTTAAGAGTTGTTGTAATGGCTTGGGTTGGCTAGTGTCAAGTCAGGAAGTGGCACTTTCAAGAGAGCATCAGCTGCTATAGTATAGGGGGGATACAAGCTTGCCCTAAGTTCTCCTGGATAAGTATTCAAGTTTCTCAGGTGATGGGCAGGGCTATAGATCTCCCAAGAGATTATGTTTTTTGTCTTCAGCTACTAGAATGAGTAGAGAAAGATCATCAGGTGGGAGAGGGGTTAGGCCTCTCTGAGCTCAGACTCTCCTTGGGCAGGGATTGTGGTGGCCACTGTGGGATATAAGGGTATACTTCTCATGCCAATGAAGTTAGGTTCCCAAGGGGGTTATGGCTGCTTCTGCTGCCTCATACAGGCCACCAGGGAGGTGGGGGAAAACTGCAGTGACCAGCCTAACCCAGTTCATGTGCAGCCAGCAAGGCCAGTCTCACTCACACCATGTCCCACTAAGAGCACGAAGTTTATATCCAGGCAGCCAGTGAACAGTGCTGGGATCTTGCCCCAGGCTACAAGCCTCCCTGCTGAGAAAGCAAGCACTGCTTTCAGGTCTCACTCCTCCACACCTGCCATGGCTTCTGTTTTTACATCTGCACTTCCTGTTCACCGTCACCACCACCCCTCCCCCATTCTGCCCAGGAAATTTCATGCTTGGTCAAAATCATTACAAAGTTCAGCTGGAAGTTTCATTCTCCCTGTGGTCCTTTCTAAATTTCACTGGCAGTCCTCCCTAAAGCACCTGTTAAATAAAGTCAGAAATGGCTTCCCTGGGTTTCCCTGGGGACAAGGAGTGCCTACAGGTCTCTTCCCACTGCTTTTTCTGCTTTTATATTTTGCTTGGATCTGGATTTTCAGGTTCCCCAGTGAGGATGTGTATTCAGAGGCAGACTTTCCCCTTTCACACTTTGGGCACTCACAGTTTTTCAGCTATCTCATGGAGTTTGCTGCAGCAAGTCACTTATTTCAAAGAGTCTGTGAATTATTTTGGCTTTCCTGTTATGCTCTTGCAACAGTTCTTGAAGCAAAATTTACAGTGTGAGTCTCCACATGCATTAACAAACAAACATCCAAGTGGGAGCTGCAAGTCCATCCTGCCTCCTATCTGACATTTTTTTTCCCTCTCCCATGTGTCCTTTTAAAAAGAAAGATCTAGCTATTTGATAGGAATTGCTGTGAATCTGCAGATTGCTTTGGGATGTATGGACATTTTAAAAATATGGATTCTTTCAACCCATAAACATGAAATATTTCTCCATTTCTTAGAGTCCTCTTCAATTACTTTCATCAGTGTTTTATAGTTTTTATTATAGAGATCTTTCACTTTGCTTAAGTTAGTTCCTAGGTATTCAATTTTATTTGTGGCTGTTGTATATTAGACTACTTTTCATTTATTTATCAGATTGTTCACTATTGGCATATCGAAATGCTACTAATTTTTGTATGTTGATTTTGCATCCTGCAACTTTACTGAGTTTGCTTATCAGTTCTAACAGTTCACATCATCTGCAAACAAAAATAATTTGACTTCTTCCTTTCCTTTCCAAATTAGATCTCATTCATTTCTTTCTCTTGTATAATTGCTCTAGCTAGCACTTCCAGTACTATTTTGAATAACAGTGGTGAAAGTGGGCATACTTGTTGTATTTCAGATCTTAGGGGAAAGGCTTTCAGGTTTTCCCATTCAGCAGGATACTAGCTGCAGGTTTTTCATAGACAAATTTTATTATGTTGAGGTATGTTCCTTCTACACTAGATTTTTAAGGTTTTTATTATGAAGGGATGTAGAATTTTATCAAATACTTTTTCATCATCATTTAAACTGATCATATTATTTTTGCCTTTCATTCTGTTGATATGATGTACCACTTTGATTTGTGTATGTCCTACCATCTTTGCATTCCAGGGATAAATTCCACTTGATCATAATGAATGATCTTTTTAATGTATTGTTGAATTCAGTTTGTTAGTATTTTATTGAGGAGTTTTGAATCAATAATCATTAGGGGTATTGGCCCATAGTTTAATTTTTGGATGTGTCTTTGTCTGGTTTTGGTATCAGGGTAATAATGGCCTTAAAGGATGTGTTTGAAAGTATTCCCTCTTCTTATATTTTTCAGAACAATTTGAGGAAGATCGGTATTCTTTAAATGCTTGGTTGAATTCAGCAGTGAAACTGTCAGGTCCCAGGCTTTTCCTTACTGAGAGATATTGTGTTATGAACTTTATCTCATTACTTTGTATTGGTCTGTTCTGCTGTTTGATTTCTTCGTGGTCCAATCTTGGTAGGTTTTTTGTGTCTAGGAATTTGTCCATTTTTTTCTAGATGTTCCAATTTATTGGCACATAGTGACTCATATTAGCCACAAACGATACTTTAAATTTCTGCAGTATCACTTGTAATGTCACCTTTTTCATCTCTGACTATTTGGGTCTTCTCTCTTCTTTCTTTAGTAAGGCTAAAAGTTTGTCAATATTGTTTAAATTTTCAAAAATAGCAACTTTTTGTTTTATTGATCTTTTTTTTAAAAAAATTCAATTTCATTTATTTCTGCTCTGATCTTTATTATTTCTTTTCTTTGACTAATTTTGAGTTTGGTTGGCCCTCGCTTTTTTACTGCTTTAACATGCATTGTTAGGTTGTTATTTTGCAGTTTTTCTTCTTTTTTGAAGTAGGCACTTACAGCTATGAACTTCCCTGCTAGTACTGCTTTCCTTGTATTTTATAGTTTTTGTTATGTTGTGTTTCCTTTATTATTTGTTTCAAGAAATTTTTCAATCCCCTTTCTAATTTCTTCATTGATCTACTGGTCATTCAGGAGCATGTTGTTTAATTTTCATGTAATTTTATAGTTTCTGAAATACCTCTTGTTATTGATTTTTAGTTTTATTTCATTGTGGTTAGAGAGGATGCTTATATATTAGATTCATTTGTTCTACAGTGAAGATTATGGCTAATGTTTATTTGTTTATTTTCTGTCTGGAGATTTGTCCAATGCTGAAAGTGGGATGGCAATGTCTCCAGCTATTATTGTATTGGAGCCTATCTCTCTCTTTAGCTATACTAATATTTTCCTTATATATCTTGGTGCTTGAATGTTTAGTGCATATATATTTAAAATATTTAAAATAACAATTTAATATTGTTATATCCTCTTGCTGAATTGACCCCTTTATCATTATATTGTGACCTTCTTTGTCTCTTCTTATAAGTTTTGTCTTGAAATCTATTTTGTCTGATATAAGTATAGTGATTCCTGCTCTTTTGGGGGTTCAATTGGCATGAAATATGTGTTTCCATCCCTTTATTTTCAGCCTATGTGTGTCTTTATAGGTGAATGTGTTTTGCGTAGGGTATAGATCATTGGTTGTTTTTTTTTTTTTTTTTAATGCATTCAGCCATCCTATGTCTTTTGAGTGGAGAGTTTAGTACATTTACATTCAATATTATATTGATAAGTAAAGACTTACTCAGGTCATTTTTTATTTGTTTGTCGGTCATTTGCTCATCTTCTCTTTCTTTCTTTCCTTCCTGTCTTTATTTTAGTGAAGGTGATTTTCTCTGTTGATATTATTTAATTTCTTGCTTTTTAATTTTTTTGGATCTATTGTATTTTTTTGGCTTGAGGTTACAATGATGCTTGCAGATACTATCTTATTACCCATTATTTTAAGCTAATAACAACTTAATACTATTTGCACAAACAAACAAGCAAAAAGAAAACTAGTAAAGACTATGACTTAACATCTTCCTTCCACTTTTTAACTTTTTGTTGTTACTATTTATTTATTTATTTATTTATTTTTATATAACTTACTTTTTATTGAAAGTATCTTGCATTCATGATGGATGCTTTCTGGGTTTTACCACATATTTTAATGATAAAAGTTAAATTATTTTTTACATGCAAGTAGTGTGAATAATTTTCCCCACATGGGAACACTGATTATAAAAAGATGACATCCCACATGGGTTAAGTGTCTTTTTTAATTGAAAAGCTAACAAACTATCCAGTTACATTACTCCCAAATACCCACAAACTGGGTAGTAACTGAGTCTCTAGGCAATATATTTAAAACTAAGAGGATTAAAAATAAAATTAAAGAAAAAGAAAACAAGTCCTCAGATGCAACGAAGGGAGCCCTGCTACATACAGGCTAATCAATACAGTGGTACTCCTTGACTGCAGGAGGCTGGAAGACATCATGGTAACTCCACTCAGAACATTTACCTCAAGAAGCCTTTTTCCAGTTTCCAACTCATGAATAAAGAGAATATTTTGTTAATTCTATTCCAAAAAACTTTTTTGCAACTTGTTTTATTTACAATGCCAACTTTCAAAAGGTCACTAAAGTTAACTGGACAATAAACTAGGCAGAAATTGCTTTACAAAAAAGAGGGAAAGCCCAAAATGCCACTTATAGAGAACCCACAGTTCAGTTTTATTCAGAGCAAAGAAAAAAGAAACTTTCGATCATACTAGAAGAAACTCAGCCATAGGTTTGGAATCTATACTCAAACTACACATGCAATGAGGACAATATTCTGCTAATACAATTGACTTGCTGCTGCATTTGTCTACTGTTTGTCTAATATTAACAATTATAAAAAGAGCAGTGAAACTAGTATTTGGAACAGTCCTTACAGTGTTACAGTGTCAGGCACAACATTTCACTTCTCTTCACACCACTGGTTCTCTTTGCGTACCTGGGCTTCCTCCTCTTCAGTAAAGTCATTTTTTATATTGAAGGTCTTGCGAATCTCCTCAGGAGTCTTCCCCTTGATCATATTGGCAACAGTCTTGCATGTAACATCAAGCAAACCTTTGATGTTTAAGTAGTTTGCAGCCAGAATGAGTTCAAAAAGTGTTCCTTGGTCAACTTTCAGGAATTCTTGGTCCCAAACAGGGATATCGTCTGTTCACTTTTCTTTGTTCTCATCATCTTCAGGAGGAGGAGGGTCATCCTTGTGGTGGGTGCACCACTGAATGACCTTTTTTAATATTGCTGCATTCACATTTGGTAGAGGAACTGGGTCATCATCTCCTTCATCATCCATTCCCAAATCTTCCAACATGGTTTTAATAGTCACAGATTGTTTGGCAATTTCCACATCAACTTCAAATATTTCTCCATCAGAACTCTGCAACTTAATTGAAGGCATGGTGTTCGGTGTTAAGGAGACTGCCGGCAGGAGGCTGACGAGAGCTAAGAGACGTCAGCGGAGGAAGAGAAAAGCGGAGGACAAAGCCACTACAGCCTGTTGTTACTATTTATATCTCATTGTACCATCTATGTCTTGAAAAGTTGTTGTAGTTATTATTTTTTATTGCTTCATCATTTAGCCTTTCTACTTAAGATAAGAGCAGGTTACATACTACAATTACAGTATAATAATATTCAGAGGTTTTAGATGTCCTTACCAATACCTGAAGGTTTGTATCTTCAGATGATTTCTTATTGCTCATTAACACCCCTTTCTTTCTGATTGAAGTACTCCCTTTACGGTTTCTTGTAGGACAGGTCTAGTGATAAAATCCCTCAGCTATTGTTTGGGAAAATCTTTATTTCTCTCTCATGTTTGAAGGATATTTTCCCCAGATATACTATTCTAATTTTTTTTTTTTATCCCTTTAGCACTTTAAATATGTCATGCCACTCTCTTTTGGCATGTAAGGTTTCCACTAAGCAGTTTGTTGCCAGATATATAGGAGCTCACTTATACGTTATTTTTTTCTTTTTTCTTGCTGCTTTTAGGAATTTTTCTTTATCCTGGATCTTTTGGAGTTTGATTATTAAATCACTTGAAGTAGTCCTCTTTATGTTAAATCTGCTTGGTGTTCTATGGCCTTCTTGTACTTAAATACTGCTATCTTTGTTTGTGTTTGGGAAGTTCTCAGTTATTATCCCTTTGAATAAAATTTCTACCTCTATGGTTTTTGGCACCTCCTCTTTGAAGCCAATAACTCCTAGATTTGCACTTTTGTGACTATTATTTATATCCTCTAGTCATGCTTCATTGGTTTTGGTTTTTGTTGTTGTTCTTTTTTCCTTGTTCTCCTCTTATTGTGTATTTTCAAATATCCTGTTTTCATGCTCACTACTTCTTTCTTCTACTAGATGAATTCAGCTATTAAAAGACTTCTGCCAACTGCAGCTTTCAACTCCAGAATTTCTGCATGATTCTTTTTAATATTTGAATCTCTTTGCTAAATTTCTCCAATAGAATTTTTACTCCCTTCTATGCATTATCTTGAATTTCTTTGGGTTTCCTTAAAATAGCTATTTTGAATTATCTGCCTGAAAGTTCACATATCTCTGCTACCCCTGGAGTGTTCCCTGGTGCATAGTTAGTTCATGTGGTGAGGTCATGTTTTCCTGGATTATCTTCATACTTTTAGATGTTCAATTGTGCCTGGGTGCTGAATAGTTAGGTATTTATTGTACTCTTCACAGTTTGGGCTTGTTTGTACCCATTCTTCTTGGGAAGATATTCCAAATATTCAAGAGGACTTGGGTGTTGTAATCTAAGCTGATTCTGATTTTGGGGGTACCTCAAGCCTAGTAATGTTTTGTTTCCTGAAGACTTGTAGAGGTACTGCCTTGATGGTCTTGGAAACTGTACAAAAGAGTTCTCTGGATTAGCAAGTAGAGACTCTCGTTCTCTTCCCTTACTTTCTCCAAAACAAATGGAGTCTATCTTCCTTTTGTGAACCACCTAAAGCTGGCGGTGGAGTGACACAAACACCCCGGTGGCCACCACCACTATGACTGTGCTGGGTCACACCTGAAGGTAGCACAACACTCGGTGTTGCCCAAGGCCTGCTCTAACTACTTCCAGGCTACTGCATATGCTTGCTGAAAGCTCTTGGTCTCTACAATCAGCAAGTGGCAAAGACAACCAGGCCTGTGTCCTTCCTGTCAGGATGGAGACTTGCCCCATGTCCCATAGGGTTTCAGAGGTGCCATCTGGGATCCAAGGACTAGAGTCAAAAACCTTGGAAGTTCAGCTGCTGTTCTATTGTACTGAAGCTGAGCTGGCACTCATACCACAAGATGCAGTCTTTGCCACACCTCTTCACTTACTAAATGCAAAGGAGCCTTATCCCATGGCCCCCACTATTTCAGGCCAATGGATAGTGCTGTCAGACTACCTTTGATGTTTTCTTTCTTTTCTTTTTATTATTATTATTATTATTATTATTATACTTTAAGTTCTAGGGTACATGTGCATAATGTGCAGCTTTGTTACATATGTATACTTGTGCCATGTTGGTGTGCGGCACCCATCAACTCGTCAGCACCAATCAACTCGTTATTTAGATCAGGCACCACTCCCAATGCAATCCCTCCCCCCTGCCCCCTCCCCATGATAGGCCCCAGTGTGTGATGTCCCCCTTCCCGAGTCCAAGTGATCTCATTGCTCAGTTCCCACCTATGAGTGAGAACATGCGGTGTTTGGTTTTCTGTTCTTGCGATAGTTTACTGAGAATGATGGTATCCAGCTGCATCCATGTCCCTACAAAGGACACAAACTCATCCTTTTTTATGGCTGCATAGTATTCCAAGGTGTATATGTGCCACATTTTCTTAATCCAGTCTCTCACTGATGGACATTTGGGTTGATTCCAAGTCTTTGCTATTGTGAATAGCGCCGCAATAAACATACGTGTCCATGTGTCTTTATAGCAGCATGATTTATAATCCTTTGGGTATATACCCAGTAATGGGATGGCTGGGTCATATGGTACTTGTAGTTCCAGATCCTTGAGGAATCGCCATACTGTTTTCCATAATGGTTGAACTAGTTTACAATCCCACCAACAGTGTAAAAGTGTTCCTATTTCTCCACATCCTCTCCAGCAGCTGTTGTTTCCTGACTTTTTAATGATCGCCATTCTAACTGGTGTGAGATGGTATCTCATTGTGGTTTTGCTTTGCATTTCTCTGATGGCCAGTGATGATGAGCACTTTTTCATGTGTCTGTTGGCTGTATGAATGTCTTCTTTTGAGAAATGTCTGTTCATATCCTTTGCCCACTTTTTGATGGGGTTGTTTGTTTTTTTCTTGAAAATTTGTTTGAGTTCTTTGTAGGTTCTGGATATTAGCCCTTTGTCAGATGAGTAGATTGCAAAAATTTTCTCCCATTCTGTAGGTTGCCTGTTCACTCTGATGGTAGTTTCTTTTGCTGTGCAGAAACTCTTTAGTTTAATGAGATCCCATTTGTCAATTTTGGCTTTTGTTGCCGTTGCTTTTGGTGTTTTAGACATGAAGTCCTTGCCCATGCCTATGTCCTGAATGGTATTACCTAGGTTTTCTTCTAGAGTTTTTCTGGAATTAGGTCTAACATTTAAGTCTCTAATCCATCTTGAATTAATTTTTGTATAAGGAGTAAGGAAAGGATTCAGTTTCAGCTTTCTATTTACGGCTAGCCAATTTTCCCAGCACCATTTATTAAATAGGGAATCCTTTCCCCATTTCTTGTTTCTCTCAGGTTTGTCAAAGATCAGATGGCTGTAGACGTGTGGTATTATTTCTGAGGACTCTGTTCTGCTCCATTGGTCTATATCTCTGTTTTGGTACCAGTACCATGCTGTTTTGGTTACTGTAGCCTTATAGTATAGTTTGAAGTCAGGTAGCGTGATGCCTCCAGCTTTGTTCTTTCGTCTTAGGATTGTCTTGGCAATGCGGGCTCTTTTTTGGTTCCATATGAACTTTAAAGCAGTTTTTTTCCAATTCTGTGAAGAAACTCGTTGGTAGCTTCATGGGGATGGCACTGAATCTATAAATTACCTTGGGAAGTATGGCCATTTTCAAGATATTGATTCTTCCTATCCATGAGCATGGTATGTTCTTCCATTTGTTTGTGTCCTCTTTGATTTCACTGAGCAGTGGTTTGTAGTTCTCCTTGAAGAGGTCCTTTACATCCCTTGTAAGTTGGATTCCTAGGTATTTTATTCTCTTTGAAGCAATTGTGAATGGAAGTTCATTCAGGATTTGGATTTCTGTTTGTCTGTTCCTGGTGTATAAGAATGCTTGTGATTTTTGCACATTAATTTTGTATCCTGAGACTTTGCTGAAGTTGCTTATCAGCTTAAGGAGATTTTCGGCTGAGACAATGGGATTTTCTAAATATACAATCATGTCGTCTTCAAACAGGGACAATTTGACTTCTTCTTTTCCTAACTGAATGCCCTTGATTTCTTTCACTTGCCTGATTGCCTTAGCCAGAACTTCCAACACTACCTTGAATAAGAGTGGTGAGAGAGAGCATCCCTGTCTTCTGCCAGTTTTCAAAGAGAATGCTTCCAGTTTCTGCCCATTCAGTGTGATATTGGCTGTGGGTTTGTCATAAATAGCTCTTATTGTTTTGAGATACGTTCCATCAATACCGAATTTGTTGAGAATCTTTAGCATGAAGGGCTGTTCAATTTTGTCAAAGGCCTTTTCTGCATCTATTGAGATAATCATGTGGCTTATGTCTTTGGTTCTCTTTATATGCTGGATTACATTTATTGATTTTCATATGTTGAACCAGCCTTGCATCCCAGGGATGAAGCCCACATGATCATGGTGGATAAGCTTTTTGATGTGCTGCTGAATCCGGTTTGCCAGTATTTTATTGAGGATTTTTGCATCGATGTTCATCAGGGATATTGGTCTAAAATTCTCTTTTTTTGTTGTGTCTCTGCCAGGCTTTGATATCAGGATGATGTTGGCCTCATCAAATGAGTTAGGGAGGATTCCCTCTTTTTCTATTGATTGGAATAGTTTCAGAAGGAATGGTACCAGCTCCTCCTTGTACCTCTGGTAGAATTCAGCTGTGAATCCATCTGGTCCTGGACTTTTTTTGCTTGGTAGGCTATTAATTATTGCCTCAATTTCAGAGCCTGCTATTGGTCTATTCAGGCATTCAGCTTCTTCCTGGTTTAGTCTTGGAAGAGTGTAAGTGTCCAGGAAATTATCCATTTCTTCTAGATTGTCTAGTTTATTTGCATAGAAGTGTTTATAGTATTCTCTGATGGTAGTTTGTATTTCTGTGGTGTCGGTGGTGATATCCCCTTTATCATTTTTTATTGCGTCTATTTGATTCTTCTCTCTTTTCTTCTTTATTAGTCTTGCTAGCAGTCTATCAATTTTGTTGATCTTTTCAAAAAACCAACTCCTGGATTCATTGAATTTTTGGAGGGTTTTTTGTGTCTCTATCTCCTTCAGTTCTGCTCTGATCTTAGTGGTTTCTTGCCTACTGCTAGCTT